AAACTTTAAACCAATTAGGATCAAAGTCAGCCCCAATTAGAATTTGGAAAGTGATGGATTTATCATCTTCAGAATTTCATGCAGACTTTAAACAAATCTTCGCTTTTAGAGTTCCAGTAATACATTTCTATTTTTCCCTCATAGTTGAGAACCTTCTTCACCCTTTCCTTAGATTGAAATTGTGTCTGATGTTAAATCTCAGGCAGAGGAGTGTTCCCAACGCTCGGGATCTAACCCCAGCCTCAAACTCCAGACATTGTTTTCGGAAAGTGTTTCTTCCCGTCCCTCAAGCCAAATGTTAGAGATATAAATGTGGGACTTTTGTAAAAACCTGTAGCGCACATGTTTAGTTTCTGCAAGGTGGCGGTAAATTGGACAGGCTTCTTTAATCTCATTCGGAATTTATACTATTTTTTACACGAATTATCAGGAGACCCCTCACCTATTTATAATCCTAACCATTTCAGGGCAGAATGGACTCAGAAGTGTTTTGGTAAATAATTAAATGCAAGCGGCAGTGAGAGCAGAAATTGTAACTTTTCGGGTGTTATTTTCCTCAGCGCTGGTACATTGAAGCCAATAACACGAAAGAAACGGCGCAATTTGGCAAATTTTAACGAAAGAATGCAAAAGCCATCGCTGAAAGATATTTAACTCACCGCATAACTGCAGAGCCACAGCTGTGACCGTTACCAGGAGAATGTAACATTTCATCTTCTGAGTTTTTTTTGGAGAAATTTAAAATGAAATTAAAATGTTAGTTTTTTTAAAAAAAAGATGGCCCGAGACTATCTTCAATTAAAAAAGGGCGGGTAATTTTTATTAAAAAAAAAAACAGACTGACTCGATTTTTCCACTGGGTCCAGAAACAGGTCTCAAACAGAGAAACAGGAAAAAGTGGTTAAGATGATTCTCATCTCTCACTCGAACGTCATTCACTCTGAACCGCAATTTGTTTCTCTCCACGACCCAGTCTCTCTGTAGATACCGTCTCTCTTTAAACCCCAGAAACTACCTTTTTAATCTACAAGGAGTTGAAGTGAAGTATAAACTGTTACCAACAAAAACAGAAATATTAAAAAAACTCAGCAAGTCTGGCAGCATCTGTGGAGAGAGAAACAGTTATTGTTTCGCGTCCTGCGACCCTTCTTCATTCTCAAAACATTAACTCTGCTTTCTTCTCGCAGATGCTGCCAGACCTGTTGAGTTTCTCCAGCAATTTCTGTTTTAGTTTCAGATTTCCAGCATCTGCAGTTCCTTGCTTCATTTTATTATAAAATGTCATCACTGGATTATTTAACATGGATTGCAGACTGTATCTGGGATGGACAGTAACTGGGAGCTGATGAATTTCCAGCAAGGATTAGAGAGAACATTCTCCCATGGAGTCAGTTTAACGGAAGTTGCACCTTTTAACTTTTATTCCTCCGTGGGGAGTGTTGACCCTGAAAGGTCTTTTTTTTCACAATTAAACATTCATGCAGCAAAGTCACAGCCTCTGGAGCCCCTTACCGTTCAGAGCCCGAACTGCAGGTACACCAGCTCTCATTCCGCCTTATTTCCCACAGAATAATCCGACAGGCTCAGTCAAATACAACTGTGCTCATGTGGTACATCAGCCATTGACTCATCCACCTACCATAGAGCCAGAATCCAGCAAGTATTGGTTACAGAGACAGACCATTCGGGCCCTTAGCCCGATGCTGGGCTTTTCACTCCACAAGTGCCTTCATCAACCCATGCTTGTATTCCTATCTCCCTCATGTGCTCCCGACCCCTCAGTAAATCTTGCCTAATTGTTCACCTGGGCCCCTCCCGTGGGAGTACACCCACTCTTTCCCCACTGTCTGGGTGAAGAGGTTTCTCTTTAATTCCTGATTGGGGTTATTAGAAACTATATTCTATTTATGGTCCAGGTTTGGCCTCCCCTGTAAATGGGAACATCTCCTTGACATAGATCCTAAACACTGCCTGCCTTTTCTTTCGAGAGAATAAATCCAATGTGAATGTTTGAGATCCTAGTCAAAGTCCCTAACTCTGTTTCCCTCTCTACAGATGCTGCTGAGATTCTCCAGCAATTAATGTTTTTGTTTGTTTCTACCCTGTCTGGTCTTTAAATTTTATAGATTTCTATGAGATCCCACTCATTCCTTTAAACTCCAATGAATACAATCCTGACTGACTCAATCTCTTCCATAAATCAGTCCTGCCATCCCACGAATCTATTTGGTAAACTTTCACTGCACTCCCTCTATAGCAAGAACATCTTTCCTCAGTTATAGAGACCAACATTGCACACAGTACTCCGGGTGCAGCCTCACTGATGCCCAGTACAATTGTATTCAAGACATCCTTGTTCTGTACTCTCACTTTGAAGGCTAATCTACAGTTTGCCTTCTTTACTGCCTGCTGTACATGCACCTTTGCAATAACTGGTGCACTAGGATACCCAGCTCTCATTGCACTTCCCCCCCTCTCAATTTACAGCCATTCAAATAATAATCTGCCTTTATCACATTAATCTATATTATACTCCAACTGTCATGCATTTCCAACAGACTCAGCCTGTCCAATTCACACTGAAGCATCTCTGCATCCTCCTCACAGCTCACCCTCCACACAGCTTTGTGACACTTGCAAATTTGGAGATATTACATTTCATTCCCTCATCCAAATCATTAATATGTTGTGAGTAGCTGGGATCCTAGCACTGACCCTTGTGGTATCCCAAATCACTGGCTGCCATTTGTAAAAAGACTAGTTTATTCCTACTGTTTGTTTCCTGACTGGCAACCAGTTTTCTATCCATTTCAATACACTACTTCCAATCACATGTGCTTTACTTTTATACATTAATCTCTTACATGAGACTTTGTTGAAAACCTTCTGAAAGTCCAAATACTGGTTGCCCCTGATCAACTCTACTAGTTACATCCTCAAAGTAGATTTGACAAGAATTAGGGAAGCACGGTGGCTCAGTGGTTAGCAGCGCTGCCTCACAGTGCCAGGGACTTGGGTTTGATTCCACCCTCAGGCGACTGTCTGTGTGGAGTTTCCTCTGGGTGCTCCAGTTTCCTCTGACAGTCCAAAGAAGTGCACGTTAGGTGGATAGGCCATGCTAAATTACCCATAGTGTCCAGGGGTATGCATGCTAGGTGGATTAGCCATGGGGAATACAGAGATGGGGGTCTGGGTGGGGTGCTCATCAGAGGATCAGTGTGCACTTGATGGGCCAAATGGCCTGCTTCCACACAGTAGAGTTTCCAATTATTTCATTTTTGTAAATTTGTGCTAACTCATCACATACTGTCACTGTTTTCCAAGTGCTCAGCTATTAAATCTTTTACAATGGAATCTAGCATTCTCCCCACTACCAACATCATGCTGAGTGGTCTATAATTCCCTGTTTTCTCTCTTCCTCCTTTTTAAATAGCAGGGTTACATTAGCTCTCCTCAAATCAACAGAAACTCTTCTACAACCGACAGAATCCCGGAAGATGGCTACCAACATATCCACAATATCCTGGGCCACTTCCTTAAATACTCTGAGATGTAGGTTATTAGGCCCTGGGGATTTAACAGACTTTAATCCCATCAATTTCCCTAAAACCATTCACTACTAATAATGATTTCCCAAAGTTCCTCCTTCTCAATTAACCCCATTTCCCCAACATTTCTGGGATGTTCTTTCTGTTCTCCCTTGTGAATACAGAACCAAAGTAACTCTTTAGTTGATCAGCCATTTCTTTGTTCCCCACTATAAATGTCTGTTTCTGACTGTAAAGGGCCTACATTTGTCTTCTCCAATCTTTTGCTCTTCACAAATCTATAGAGACTTTGACAATTTTTAATGTTCCCTACAAGCTTACCTTCATACTCTATTTTCCATTTCTTAATCAATCCCTTTGTCCTCTTTGCTGAATTCTAAACTGCTCCCACTCCTCTGTCTCTTGTTTCCTCTGGCCAATTTGTATGCTTCGTCCTTGGAACCAATACTATCTCTAATCTCTAACTTCCCTTGTGAACCATGGTTTGGCCACCTTCCCTGTTTAACTTTTGTGCCAGATGGGAATGAACAATTATTGCAACTCACCAATGTGCTGTTTGAACATTTGCTATTGTCTGTCCATCATCAATCCATTAAGTAACACCCCCAGTCCATCATAGCCAGCTCATGCCTCATTACATTGTCGTTTCCTCTATTTAGATTCAGGACCCCAGTCTCAGAATTGACTATTATCACTCTCCATCTTGGTGAGGAATTCTGTCATATTATAGTCGCTCATCCCCAACAGAATGCAGCTAGATTATCAATTATTCCTTTCTCATTACACAATCCCCAGTCTAGGATGGCCTGTTCCCTAGTTGGTTAGTCAACATATAGATCCAGAACACTATCGTGTATATACTCCAGGATTTCTCCCTCTATGTTATTGTTAGTAATTTGATTTGCCCAAGCTATATGCAGATTAAAGTCACCCATGATTACAACTTTATTTATTATAAGTACTTTATTGCATGCGACTTTGATTTCCTGCTATTTAAAAATTCATTCATGGGATGAAGGTGTCCCTATCTGGGCTAGCATTTATTGCCCATCAGGCAGTTAAGGTCAACCACATTGCTGTGGGTCTGGAGTCACATATAGGTAAGGATGGCAGTTTCCTTCCCTAAAGGGCATTAGTGAACCAGATGGGCTTTTCCCCAACAATCAATGATGAATTCATGGTCATCTTTAGACTCTTAATTCCAGATTTTCTTTGGATTCAAATTCCACCATGGTGGGATTCAAACCTGGGTCCACAGAACATTTCCTGGGTCTCTGGATTAATAGTTTAGTGATAATGCCACTAGGCCATTGCCTCCCCTTAATGCTAGTCCCAATAGTTTGGGAGTTTGTATGCAGTGCCCACTAATGTTTTTGCCCCTTGCTATTTCTCAACTCAACTCATACACATTCCACATTGTCAGCTTTGATATCCATCCTTGCCATTGTGTGAATTTCTTCTTTAACCAGTAAGGCAATTCCACCTTGTTTTCCATTTTTGTCTATCCTTACTAAATACTGAATACCCCTGGATATTCAGTTCCCATCCCTGATCACCCCACAACCATGTCTCCATAAATCTGATTATATTGTCCCTGTTACTATTGCTGCAATTAATTCATCCATTTTATTGCAAGTACTCCACCATTAAGGCTTGTCTTTTTAACATTACCTGTCCCATTCTCATTATTTTTCTGTGTCCCCATTTGATCCTGGCCATTGATTTTTCTGCCTATCACTTTTCTTATTCCCATTTCTGTTGTTTGATTCTCAATTAGTGCACCACTCGCTCAGTACTGACCCTGGGAGTCTGGAGTGGGACTTGAAACTTTGGGGTCAGGCTGAGGGTGTTTCACAGTGTAAGGGGCAGCACTTAGATGCTGCATTGCTCCATGCTGATTAAATGTGAGTGCTGTGTTTTACTGAGCAGCAGTACAGATCTTTTCTACAATAACTCCTGCCTCAGGCAAGTCTCAAATAAACTCCACCTACTCACTTGTTCAGCCAGGGTTTGGATGTAAGCTGATTGCAGTTTCACATGAAAATAATTGCCCAGCTTGAGACAGACCTGTACCTTGCAGAGTGCCATGGTTACAGCTGTACACTAACCGGAGAAGCGGACAGTGTTTATACACAACTGTGATCAACTACAAACAGAAGGAGGCTGCCTCTCAAACACACTGAAAAGGATCTCTCTGTTTCTCAGTGATTGTCTATGAGAAATATTTTAAAACAAACTTGTTAATTTAAAATGGCTCTGGAAGATTTGAACGGTCTGGAAAAGATGGAATTCCCTGTGTTTTCATGTCTATGTGAGCTGTGTGACTGTGGGTAAGAACTGTTCCAATATCCTCTTTCTTACATTGACAAGGTCACAAGGAGCATTCTTATACTGCCCTTGTGTCTGAACTTACCGACACCTTCTCCCAGCCCCAATATCCACCCCCCCTCCCCCGCTATCCCCTTCTTCCTCATTCCCACTCTCACACACCCATTTATCCCAAACTAAACCCAGACCCCATCTCTCCTGCGCTGTCACCAAAGCCTTCCCCCCCAACTCTGCACCCTGCACACTGCTATGGGCCGCTAACCTTGGTTAATTGGTTACTGGTAACTAGCTAACTAGCTGATGACATCACAATGAGAGTGACATTGCGGAACAATTACCCCCAACACCGATAGAGGCTGGGGTAAACTGAGGTGGGATTTCTGCTCCTGAGCAACCAATGGTCCCGACTGGAAAGTGCACACAAGTTTTGATGTTGACTGTGATCGCCCCCACAGTTGAATGTCCTGCAGGTCTCCATTGCCTAGTCCTGCATTGGAACAATGGCTGCTTGAGTGAGTGTTGGACAGAATCCAAGTCAATTCCTTCGGGAGAAGAGGACTGAGAATTTGGAAACTATAACACATTGAGACATCACTTTAGGTTATCCTGCAGGACAGGACAGGTGCTAATTGAAGGCAAGTTTTCACTGTTCTAGGAATATTACGTCAGACTGTGGATTCCCAGGCAAACACAACAACAGTTCAGACCTGATGCTGAGTGAACATAAACTCTTCCTGGTGATGTTTGAAAACCTTGCTGTAAAACTTTGGGATAATATTCTATAAGAGTTATCAGCCGACATTATTTTGGAGCCTGTCCTTTATGATGCTGGAGATTAAGGTTTGTGCTCAGAGATTGGGGCTTCATTGACTGGGCCAACCATTATTGCCCATCCCTAGTTGCCCTGGAGAAGGTGGTGGTAAGCTGCCTTCTAGAACTGCTGCAGTTCATGTGCAGCAATTAGGCAGGGAGCTCCAAACTTACAAACTCTGTTTAGAGTTTCCACTCAATGGGTTCTCTGCAGGGTTCCCATTCGTTTTCTCCCTCTTGCTCTCCCTCTCTCTGTGGATTATGAAAGATTTAGTTTTCAGGAAGGAATTAACAGAGAGATTATCTTTAACCTAAACATCAGGGAGGTTGAATCATGTGTCAGTCTAAAAACCCTGACACCAACTTTCAACAGAATGAATTCAGGGCCCCATAACCTTTTTTTATAGCACAGAAAGAGGGCACATTAAACACAGACTCTCCCCATAGCCCTGCACTGATTCCCAAACTAATCCCACTGCCCCACTCTCTCCTCATAACCCTGTATCAATCCGAAACTAATACCACTGCCCTGCTCTCTCCCCACAACCCTGTATCAATCCCAAACTAATTCCACTGCCACACTCATTCCCCATAGCCCTGTAACGATCACAAACTAATTCCACTGCCCTGCAGTCTCCCCATAGCCTTGTATCAATCTTCAAACTAATCCCACTGCCCCGCTGTCTCCCCATAGTCCTGTATCGATCACCAAACTAATCTCATTGCCCTGCTCTCTCCCCACCCTGTATCAGTCCCCAAACTAATCCCACTGCCCCGCTCACTCCCCATAGCCCTGTATCAATCCCAAACTAATGCCACTGCATCGATCTCCCCATAGCCCGGTATCATCTGGTGCTTCAAATATTATAATTTTATTTGAAAAGGTTCAATGGTCTTTGCTTCACTCACTGGCTGTAAACCATACACAAAGTTTTCTCCAATGACCAGATGCTGGGGTCTGATCACTGAGTGTGATTGGCTGGTGGTATGCCCCTGATTAGACAACACTATGTTCAATGACATGGAGTGAGAGGGTTCAAATGTGATTAAATCAAAAAGGAAAATGCGATCCATTGTAAATAGCTTTTTGTCCGTCACTCAGACATTGGGTGCCCCTCAGTTGATGTGAGGTGATCTCCTTCGAACTTGTTGTGATTCTGAAGCTGCTCCAATTATTCACCTTCACTTCACCCAGCAATTTATAATCTCATTGGTCAAAATCGCTCAGGTGACCTGTAATCTCATTTTTAAACAATTGCTCCATCCTGTTGGTGATTGTTTCCAGAAATTTCATTGGCTTCCCAATAGTGTGATGTTGAGTGGCTTGGATGGACGGATGGATGGATGGATGGATGGATGGACGGATGGATGGATGGATGGACGGACGGATGGATGGATGGATAGGTGAA